ATAGCTTCGGACTGCGCTGACTGATTCTCCGTTATGTCCTCCATAGTATATGAACCCTGTAGAAACTCCTGTATTTCCTTAGTCTGAATATTACACATATTAGTCCTCACACTAGACCTCACACTAAGTCCTCATACTAGTTCTAGTCCTCTGACTTAGTCAATATCCATCTCAGGCCTAGGGAGGAATTCCCTAGGCCGGAGCTCCGCTCCTCCGCTCCTCCACTCCTCCGCTCCTCCGATCCTACACTCCTCCGATCCTACACTCCTCCAAGTTTCCGGAAGTTCCTCCAGAACTTTCCTGTGGTCCTCCAGACCTATTCTGCTTCGGACTTTGTCCCTGCAGCCTTTCCTCTGTCTCCATTCTACTCAGGATTCATCCTGAGTAGCCGTTACACATATCTGTACCAGGACGAAACCTCATAGTAATTTCCAGAAGTTCCTCCGGAAGTTTCCCGCACCCCTCCGAAAGTTTCTCACACTCATCTGGATCCGGACAGTCTTTCCGGACTTTCCCGTGCTCCTTCGGAAGTCCTATGGACTTCCCCCAGATGTCATCTGCAATTAAGGGCACATACTCGGATAAGGGGTGCAGCGCACGAGCTGAAGCCAAGCCCTTTGGAATCAGTCCTACCCTTTGTGCATGGTCTTAACAGAGGCAGGAATGAGCAGAATCTAATATGATATTCAAACTGAGGATGTACAGAGAATTTACAGGGTTTATATACTATGGAAACATAACGGAAGATCAGTCAGCACAGTGCAAGGCTATGTATGAGGCATGTGAAAAGCTTATCAATAGTATAACGGAACATAATAAATGAAGTCAGAAATGAAACAAGGTCCAGATAAATGAGTACAGTCAGATATGTAAATAACCAGGGGACCAGTAAAAGGAGCTAACCAAGCAGGGACATATGAAAGGAGAAAAAAGTGGAAGTAAAAAGTGGGTCAGATCTGGACATCCAGAGATGAGTGTGTGAACAGTCTGGGTCCGGAATGCGGAATATGACAAAGGGCCTCTTTCTCGTAGTTCTTATTATTCTTATTTCTATCCTAGACCAGCATATAAAAGGCCTATTGCAGGACTAGTACATAATCCTCTTGTGGGACAAGTTCCTATAATCCCTCTAGTTGGACTATTACATATGGTACCTGTAGAAGGATCCACTCATGTAAGGCCTATCTCATTATATATAGGACTTTCTGTAGAATTTGGTCATGCTATAAGCATTCATAACTGAGGAACTCATGCTCCACTAAACAGGATGAATGATGTTGAATCTCATAAGGTTCATAATGACCATTCCTCATAGGAACACCCTACTAGCTAGTATATCCAGCTCATACATTCATTTGTCTTGCTGATGTAATCTTCTCTTGAAATTGTTTATAGTGAAGACTCTCATCATTTTTAATAGTCCACAGCTTTATCAAAACATTAGTTCAAAAATTGGCAAGAACAATCTGAGCATATAACAAAAATGCATATATACCCCTGGAACAACTAATATAGACTATGTTTAGATGATATAGTATGCTTAGTTAGGAGAAGCAATCCTAATTGTTGTAATTTGAATAACACAAGCTTAGTTTTAGCCTACCATAATATGATTATATATGACAAAACATTGCAATATTGTGGAGAAGCAAATGAGTAAGTCTATTGAACATTAGTGGCTAATTACAAGACTAAAATAAAACAACTTTTGAACTAGAAAGTTAGAGATTTGAACACTGATGCAGCCAAGGAAATAGATAAATGCTTTAGCAAGGGAATAGGTAAACACCCTACCAAGCAACTGTGAGTGGAATAAGATTGTCTACAAAATCTAACTAAATCTATTGTTACATTCTTTTCTTATCATGTTGGACAACTTTTGGCCAACACCTTCATTGATCTGTTGCTCTATCTTTTGCGTAATGCTAACACCAATCTGTGGCTTTCTTTTTTGGCTAACACTAATGCCAATCCATGACTCCCTCTTTTCCCCAACACTAACACTAATCTGTGGCTCCCTCTTTTGGCCAATGTCAATGTTAACCTTCCTTTTTTGGCCAATATCTATGCTAATCTGTGGCTCTCTCTTTTGTCTAATATCTACACTGACCTGTAGCTTTCATTTTTGTCTAATGTCTATTCTAACCTATAGCTTTTTCTTTTGTCTAACATCTATGCTGACCTGTGGCTTTCTCTTTACTCTAATGTCTACACTGACCCATGGCTCTCTCTTTTCCTCAATGTTTATACTAACCCATGGCTCCCTCTTTTCTCTAATATCTATGCTAACTTGTAGCTCCCTCTTTTGGCTAATGCTAACACTATCTACTCACACAATACTACTACTACTCTACCTTCTTACATACACTACCTACTCTATCTGTACTCTCTATTGATAATGAATCTTGCTTTGACCTTGACCTACCTCCTAACCATGACTCAGCTTCAGACCTTGGCCCTGACCCTATGATTCCAGCCATTGATATCATCTAGGATGAACATCACATGATGTGGTACAAGTGTGACAGACCTCAGATAACTTCTGCCAAAGCTATTAAAAGATAACAAAATGAGTGGAGGAGTAATATAGTAGAGAATAACATGATATAGTAGTATAAAATCATGTGCAGGTAGCTAGAAATTAGTATTTTGAGTAATAAAGACAATTCATATTGATTATCAGAATAAACTGGAGAAGGATATGAAATCATCAAATTCCTTTATTATACTCATTTATCTACTTCTGTGTTATTTTTAATCTTTTGGTACATGAGGGCTTCCACACTCACATTTCCTTGGTTACTGATTTTTTCTTTAGAAGTCTTTGCCTTTTTTGACTGTAAATTTGCAGCCTATACACTATGAGCATGTTTGGGCTGTGTTATTGTAAGCTGATACCTTCCTAAAATAGTACAGCATAGTAGTAGGGCAGAGTTGTGGCAAAGTTTCATTTGCCACTTCCTCTATATTACTGTTTCATTAATAGCTCTCTTATTTCAGCATGGATATACATTTTGAAATTACAAAGTTGTTCAAACATATGATATCAATAGGATAGCAGAACAGATTTCTTGTATATGGAGTTGGCAAAATGTTATTAATTTTATGAGCTATAGTCACAATTTCATCATACTAATCATGTGATGTTTATCAGTTTTGCAAGACATCTACCTTATTTCTGAAGGTGTGTACATTAAAACAATTAACTTTTATAATACACTTACCCAAATTCTATCATATTCACCTCCCCCTGCACCTACTTCGGAAAATATCTCTTATCACAGACCTGCTTATGCAGATGGTAGGACTGAAATATCTTCTATAGGACTGACTTGTGTAGAAGCTAAAGAACACCTTAGGAGCAAGTCAGTCAAATATAATGACTATCACTCAGTGTATATTTCCAACATTGTGCAGGCCATTAAGTTATTCTGCTTCTGTCAGGATGAAATTATTGGGAATGACTGGAACTTTCATATGTTCTAAGATAGATTATACTTTGGGCACCCTATTATTTTTGGGGGAGCTAAACTCCCTACAGGAGGCCCTTGATCCAGATGAATATGACATGAATATGTTCATAAGCTTTAAGATCATTATGCCTATAGCCAGCATCTTATTAATGTCATCAAGACAGTCCTATTAACTCAAATGCTTGCAGAAGCTTTGACACATGCATGCACTATTAAATGTGACCACTTCTTATATATCCAAGGAGGCCTCTCTCCCAATACTTATCTAGTCATTATGAGGATATTAACTTATTTTTTTCTGAGAGTAAGTACAAATAGCTCAACTCCTATGCTGCCATTGTTGAAAACCATGGAGAGCCCATCCTTGCTTTAGATATCTTGGAGGCCCTACTTATGCCTTTCTCTGATAAGAACACCATTTGCACACTTACAGAATTATGACACCTTGATGTAGGATCTGTTAAGAACATTCTTTGTCTTGCTTTAGATAGAGATCCAGTCCTTAGCATTGTGCGCATGGACCTTACTACTATTGCTACCTCCCTTTTTCATAGTGAGATAACCAAAGACCCCTTTTATTTAAAAGAGTGGTTTATTCTCTCAGATATGGTCAAAGAACCTGAGGAAGAGCCAAAATATAAGGCTAAAAAGTTTTTTCTCTAGTGATCTAGAGGTAAACTTCTATTATTTATTATTATTATGATTTCAACTTATCAATCTCTCTAATAGAAAATCTAAAAACTCATTACTGGATCTTCAAATTTCAAAATTTCATATATATCCATCATATCTATTTCCCCTTTGACTTCTATTGGCTTGTATCCAAATTCACTTAATTCCAAAAACATGGACCCTCACATCTTCAAACCAATGCCTATGTATTGATATCTCTGTTTTCATGTCAGTCTCAGACTCAGAGTCTCATTTCACATGTTTGTCTTTGCTTGTTTTGATTGTCTCTAGTGCTCTTGCTTATTCACAAAAACTACATTGCAGGATTATGTACATGAGTGTATTGATACAAGAAAAAGGTATAAAATCTCAAGTGATAGCTTTAGATATGAGATACCTGTTCTGTAATTCAAGTCTTTGGCAGTCCAAAATTTTGTCTGAAAAACCCAAGTCTCAACAATAGCAAAATCAAGTTTAAGTCTAAATTACTCAAAACCTAGTGAACAAAATTCAAGCAAGGAGATCCTGATGTATCCTTCAGATTTGCTTGAAAATGAGTCTATAGAGGAGTGTTTTGAGAGACTTAGAAATAATCTCACATTCAAAAACCATACTACAAACTCCAATCAAAATGAAGACACTATACTTCAAGACTCAGACTATAATTAACACTCTGATACTGAGTCTGATATCTTAATTTCCTGTGACTCTACCAACTATCCTGAGAGAGTTCCAGAGCTTAGAATGTATAAGAGGGTTGATTAAAAAGTCAAGCCTATGTCAGGAACTTTTCTTCAAGGAGCCAGAGTAGATCATCATTTCCCTTATAACCTACTTTAAAATTTAATTCCACATCCTCCTGAATTTAATTCTAATGAACATTTAACTTATGAACATATGGAAACACTTAAAATAAATCCTCAAGGATTTCTACTACCTGAAGAAGTAAAACATTTTCAACATCTCATGAATTTAATTCAAGAGACTCTGGCATTTGAAGAAACTGATAGGAGGACTCTCAAAGAATCATATTTCACACCATATATTATCTCTACTGTACCTCATGTACCTTGAAAATATAAGAATATTCCTATCTGTAAACATGTAAGGAGCTGTTTGGGTAAAACAGCATTACAAGCTACAATTGATAGTGGCAATACTAAAGGTCTGTAATCCTTTAAGATTGTGAAGGATTGAGAATTTGTCTTGTCAATAAAAACAAGATGGCCAGAATACTATATACTAGTACCAAAAACTGTCACATGTAATGTCAGGTTGATGTTCATTAAAACATGGAGACATATAGCAAGAATGCTATAGGTGAGACTTGTCAATGTTGCATGAATAAATCCAAAGCAATAATATTACTTACTAGGACTATACTAGCAAGCTCAATTTTGCTACTAATATGTAGACTTCCCCTAATCATTAGGTATATGTTACAGTATGTGTATATCTTAAGCATGAGGAACAGCTGCTATTTATAATCCTTGATATTGTTGAGGTTTCAAAGGTAAAAGTAAACAAAAAGATAGACATATCTCTCATTGACTAGTTATAGTCACATACAGGTGCAAATTTGGCTAAAGTGTTCAAAAAAATCCTAGAAGAATTTGGAATATCAAATAGGATATGAAACCAATTAAATATCAGTGGAGAAAACTCATGAGGTTTATCAACATAGGTGTTGAATGTTACAGCAGACAACATATCATCAAACAGCACCCTTGTTGCAGAGCTTGCAAAGATTCTTTCATATTTTGATGATAAAACAAACCAGATACAGTACTTCTTGCACATAGTTAGTCTGAGACATACACAAATTGCAAGATTAAGGTATTTCTTCTTAATGATGGCATGAGTGAAAATGTGGTCAGTAAGAGATGCCTCCTCTTCTTCAGTTCATACACAGTGGCTCGATAGGAAGTTGGACCTAGGGATGAACTTTTTATAGCTTGATCTAAGTCAACAGATATTGTTATTTTAGACCATTTAGGTGCAACAATAGTATTAGAAGCCTTGTCTGTTGTCTTCTGCTTGTTTTGGCCCTTAGTGGCCATAGTTAGAAGTCTTTCTATGGGCTTTTTGGTTCTTTTAGATAACATAATTAGAATGTTGGTAAGATGTAGAAAATGAAACCACAAAGTAGCCTAATTTATTTAGAGTTGAGTTCTTAAAGTTTGCTTTACTGTACAAGTCCAAAGATACCTATAAATTATATTATATCTAGGCCCAGAGGTACTATTATTTGTTTAGGGGTACAGAGGCCTCTAGATCCAAACTCATACATCTACCCTCCAGTACCCTTACCTCTGACCTCCAGGGGTTACTCATATCTCTATCTATCTCTATATATAGGCCAGCCAAAAGGCCAACTAGCACTATGGGTCCAGCCATGTAATACATCTATAATATTACCTATGAGCCCAGCCATATATTACATCTACAATTTATCTATTGGCTCACATGTATACTACCTAACTAGTATGGACCCAGCCATATATTACATCTATAATTTATTTATTGCCCACAGTCATACTACTCCATTATTATGGCACCAGCTGAAACTCACATGTATTGTTAATGATGGACCTAGCCATATGTTATGGCTACAATTGCCCATAGGTCCATCTGGGATAGCCTGTATAATATGAGTGATTGTCATATTGGGCTGGCTATAAGATACAGACTATTTCACTCAATAGACTTTACCTTTGAAGTATCTTGCTTTAGTTTGTATAGTGGTAAAGTTTTTCATGTTTATATACTACTTTACAATCTACTGCCATTATATTTACTAGGTTAACTGTATCCTCAATGGCTTAAAGAAGAATGGTAATGGCAAATCAATTCCAAAGTTTACTTTCAAAGAGTATTGCACTTTATATGAGTCAATGTTCAAACTACTGAGATAACTCACAGATGATTCTTATCATAGACTGAAGCTAGATAGTAAGCTGTGCATTTTTATGAAGTTTTGAATACTAATTGAAATTCACATAGGGTGGAGTCTTATAAGGTTAATGGCAACTTAGATGACACATCTGTAAGGATACTATATCCTCTGCACTCCGACTAACACTTCAAACGAATGTGAATGCAGTCCGCATGTCTCATTGATGTGAAGAGCTTCACTCTTCATATCTGAGACATGCAGATACATTTCCTTCATTTTTACGTTCACCCTTGTATTCTAACAAACACTTCATCCTATATCACATTGTGTCAGTAGGGGTTGGCAGCTAGGGGCTTTTGGAGGTTTTGAGGGTCTTTCGGAGGTGTCAGGGGTCCTGTCCAGACCTCAAGGCACCTAGGTACATATACCTAGTGCCTGTCAGTAGCTAGACCTTACTCATTCCATCAGCTTCTATTCCTTTTGCTTGGTTTGATGCCACCGACTCAATGTGACGCCACCACCTCATGTAGAACATAAGCCTTCCTTTTACTTATCATCGCTCACATTCTTGTTCCAAGAAGTCCCTTTCATTGAATTCTCCTTTGTTTGCTACACATTGTACCATGTATTGAGCCACTCGGCTATCCCTTTCATGCTCGTATGTATATAAACCTTTGATATTCATGTACTCATCGTCAAATCAAGAGAGTTTCACCAAGCATCGCAAAGTCCAGAACATTTCAGCTCAAAACATCCCATCTTGTCAAAATGTTCTGTTTTGTCTCATCTTGGTCCCACCTTGTCTTGTCTCATCTCAATCTGCTTCATATTCTGGACTTCTTCGTACTCAACATCAGCCTTACATATTTTGGAGCCCACCGCGAGGGGTTCTGTTTTCAAACATCTCCTTGCACTCAAATCTGATCCTTTGATCTTCCATTCTGATCCACAGATTCATAAACATTCTAGATTCATTTATCTAAACCTACATCGCCCACCATTCCGAAATTTTATCACAAAAATGTGCAGCTCTCTCCGAAACGTCCTCGAAATGAACTTCCTGCAACAATCGACACTTCCATCATTCCAGAACTTCCTGTTCCAAATCCTACAACTCCTTCCAATTGACAAACCAACCCATTCCTAGAACTAGCCACTACCCCGAACAACTCAGAAGAGTCGGCAAGATCTTCCTTAGATGAAGCTCTAGAATTATCTTTGGACTTCCCTTTGATCCTTGATGAGCCGCCACCAATCCTGTTAAGACCGTGCACAAAGGGTAGGACTGGTTCTGAGGGGCTTGGCTTCAGCTCGTGCGCTGCGCCCCTTACCCAAGTATGTGCCCTTAATTGCAGATGACATCCGGAGGAAGTTCATAGGACTTCCAAAGGAGCGCGGGAAAGTCAGGAAGGACTATCCGGATCCGGATGAGTGCAAGAAACTTCTGGAGGGGTGTGGGAAACTTCCAGAAACTCAGAGGAGTGTAGGATTGGAGGAGCGGAGGAGCGGAGGAGTGGAGGAGCGGAGGAGTGGAGCTCCAGCCTAGGGAATTCCTCCCTAGGCCTGAGATGGATATTGACTAAGTCAGAGGACTAGAACTAGTATGAGGACTTAGTGTGAGGTCTAGTGCGAGGACTAATATGTGTAATATTCAGACTAAGGAAATACAGGTGTTTCTACGGGGTTTATATACTATGGAGGACATAACAGAGAATCAGTCAGCGCAGTCTGAAGCTATGCGAGGCTGTGGGCGGAGTGTATAGAAAAGTCAAACACTAGTCTATCGGAAAATAGTAAATGAAGACGGAAATGAGAACATAGGAAAACAAAGGCAGAAATGAACTGAGGTACAGAAAATGAGTATAGTCTGACTCAAGAAGGAACATACAAAGGGAAAAGGCACGGAAGATAGATGCGGGTCGGATCCGGATGTCCAGAGATGTTCAGATGTCCGGAGACAGGTGATTACCATAAGGGAATGAGCGCTGATTTAAGGTTTGGGTTCGGATATGAAGCATAGGTTGGATCCGGAGATCCTGGCAAGTGGATATCAGATTGAGTGTCTGGGTTTTGGATCTGGATGTGTGGATAAGCAAAGGTACAGGGATCCAGGTGTACAGGCATCTTGACAGATAAAGGACATGGACAGGGGGTCCGGAGGTCTGGATGAGGCGTGGGAACATTGTCGGATGTATGTCCGGAATACAGGATATGACAAATCCCTTTCAAACTCCCGGCTGCTAGATTCCTCCCACTTACACCATCAGTACCACCTCTCGTAGACTCCGCAAGAAATGTCACCTCCGCTGCACCCCAAACATTCATCAGTCAAAACATTTCCTTACCACCTGTTCAATTCCAACCACTTATTCCAACAGTCCCAAACACTCCCAATACCTTCAGTAACACTTGCACCACCCATTATCAATCCTGCTCCTGTACCGTCTCACCTTCCCCCATTATATATTGCATCCACTCTGCCCTCAATGAAAACGAAAACAGCCATGTCTACCTCAAACAAAGGTATCGCTGCAGGACAAACAGACATGCAAGGCGATTGTCCATTATACAGACATCCTTACCAAACGTTTTTGGGTCATGCTAATGGGCTATGAAAGTAAGGACTATGCTATATTCAAACAAAGTATCCTTGCGAAGTACCCGCACATGAACCAGGGGACTTGTTATATGATCCGAGACTTGGAACGGGTTGTGCTCAATACAGCAGACTCTGACATTTCCACAGAAATGGAGCTTCTTCAATACTATCACCAGTTTCATCCTATCGCTGTATGGCTAGAGACCAATCCAAAAATCTCCAAGCACGAATGAGACAGATACTTTTGGCAAGGACTCCCTCACTCTGCAAGGTGTGCTATCAATCGATGTCTCGAACTCAAGGAAGCTAATTACACTCAAAATGAAGCCACTGACTTCGAGAAAGTCCTCGAAGCAGGACGATTCATATTCTCTGATGATGCATTTGATGCAGATTTGAACGAGCCCATCGCTAGTCGACTCAAATCCATGCGTGAAAATCATGCTTCCCAAGCTAAGCTGACATGACCAAGTTGGGATTCTGATGACGAAGAAGAAGAGAAATGAAATGTACGGTGAGAAGTCCAAATGAAGCATGTGGCATTCACCTCCCCTCCAGTACTGATTAAATCAACGATGGATGAGGTAGAGGATCTCGCACGCCAGATGCATACCTTAGATATAGGAGACACCGCCTACTCAGGCTGCTATATGTGCCTTCTATGCCTTGCTCCGGCTGCAGCACAGGCATGGGCAGACCCGAAATCACGACAACTTGTCAATTCCGTCACAACATCTGGGACTCTACCTTACATTCCTCTCCCTCCTTTGCTACCTTCGTCCAACAATCAGTCTAACACTACATGTTTCTTCTGTGGAGGGTCACATGTGATTCGGACCTGCGTGATAGCCGGGGACTACTTAAGAGCTGGACGTATAATTCGGGACGGACAATACTTTGCATTTCCAGACCAGTCCTGCATAAGGCGAACAGGCAACGAAATGTTAAAGCAAGCTATTGACGCTAGATATGCCACTGCCCAGCCTTCAACTCCTGCAAGTGGACCTAATTCTATCCCTCTCGACAATTTCTGACATGACACCATGGTCCAATCTTCCAATGACATCCCTACCTCCGCCTTCATCTCAGAATCATACTTTTTGCAGTGTACTTCAATTGCCGAAAATCATGCAGTGGTTGTAACAGTCAAAGACGAAAGTGAAAGTCAACCTTCAAATGAAGTCTTGGCTATAACATGCTTGAAGTCGAGAGCTATTGACATGGAACAAAGCAACACATCCAACACGGCACCTCCAGTTTCTCCATTGGAACCTCACCTTGAATCCAAGAAGATGCCACCTTCCTTCACATACGAGTCCAAAGCAGCTGATTTTGAATGGACCAAACACATGTTCCAAAACATTCTTGACTCAGTGATCCCGGGTGTAACTATTGCCGATCTTTTAGCCATCAGTCCCGAGCTATGAAAGGAAGCTGTAGAACACTGCAGGGCTCAGTGTGTACCCACTTCCACAGTACCTCTTACCACCAATATTGTTGCAACATCTCCACCAGTCCAGATCGAGCATGCTACTCCACTTAGAGAGCTTCGGGTCACCTTCAACGGAGTCCACTTAGAGTTGGGATTGCTTGATGAAGGTTCTGAAATCGTCGTTATCAGGGAAGACATTTGGAGGAAGACTAATGCACCTTGGAACCAGGAGATTCATATGAGGATGCAAACTGCAAATGGAGGAGCCCAAGAGATGGGCAGGTGCATTGAAATGTTGGAGATCGATGTCGATGGCATCAAAACTTGGGCACATGCATATGTGGTGCCAGATGCACCTTATTGGCTTCTCCTAGGGCGATCATGGCAAAGGCTCATGCAGTTATCCAAGAATGAAACACAAGATGAAGTATTGGTAACCATAAGTGATCCTCTTGACAGCACTAAGACTCATACCTGCAAGACATCGGCATGGCCATGGCCCCAACCAGGATTGTTCATAGCCACATCTGCAGCCTTCTTCACATTCCCCTCCATCTCGAAACTCTGCCCATCAACCTCACGAACCATCACTCACTCTGCCCTGTCTACTTCCCTTATTCCAACATCTCAACTTCATGCAACAGCATTCTGCAACTCCCTTCTAGAACAATCATTCAACTTTGACCCCATCCATCACGTATTAGCATACAAAAAGGTCGCAAATAAAGTTAAGCCCGTAGCGACAACAATGCTGGCGCATGCTCAAATTATCCGCCATTTGCTTGAAGATCCTTTGCTTTCTCTTCCTACCTTGTCACCTCAACCACCCGAATTCCAACCCAGTACTTGTCTCACTAAAGAATGCATGCATGACCTCAAAATCTTCGAAAACCAATTCTTATGGCCAGAAGAGTGCAAACTCACTGCCCAAGTGCTTATGAACAATGAATTTTCTCTTGCCTGGGACGAAACAGAGAAAGGGCACTTTAGAGATGACTACTTTCCCCCAGTCATCATTCCCACTATTGAGCACACTCCCTGGACTCACCACCAGCCTCCCATCTCTCCAGGCATCAAAGATGAAGTTATCAGACTAATCCAAGCCAAAATCAAGTCAGGAGTCTACAAACCTTCGAATTCATCATATCAATCACGATGGTTCTGTGTTGCAAAGAAGAACAGAGCCATCCGTATTGTTCATGACTTACAACAACTGAACTCTGTTACAGTCAAGGATGCAGCTTCAATGCCCTATGTTGAACACTTTGCCGAACAATGCACTGGACGATCAATATACTCTATAATAAATTTATTTGTTGGATTCAATCACAGGGCTCTCGCGGAGGATTCTCGTGACATCACCACATTCCAAACACCACTCAGCACCATCCTTCCCCAAGGCTGGACTGACTCACCCACCATGTTTCAGAATGATGTTGCTTTCATACTTCAAAATGAGGTCGAAATAGCACCGAACTTCCAGGACGATGTCAATATTTTAGGCCCAAAGACCCGTTATGAGAAGGCAGATGGAGCATGTGAAACACTTATTGAGAACCCTGGAATTTGCAGATTTGTCTGGGAACACTGTGTTAACGCTAATTGTGTCCTTCATAGACTCAAGCACACTGGAACCAGTCTCTGTGAAGAAACTATTTCTTTGTGTACCCGAAGTTCTCGTCATCAGACAAATATGCACATATGAAGGCCGCAGCCCAGACTCATCCAAAGTCATGAAAATCAGACATTGGCCCCCATGCATGTCATGAACAGAGGTCTGTGCATTTTTGGGCACTGCAGGAACAGTGCGAACTTGGATTAAAGATTACGCACGAATCTCTCGTCCACTTACCAACCTTACATGTGCCAATGTCTCCTTTGAATGGACTCAAGAAACTCAAAATGCCATGGACTCCCTCAAAAACACAATCATTCACTCTCCCGCAATTTGCCCCATCATCGTCACTTGAAGTGATACTATCAGTAGACTCATCTCACATAGTGTGCAGATGGATTCTCTCACAACTTGACTCTGAAGGTCATTGTCGTCCTTCAAGATTTGGCTCCATCACTTGGAACAAGTGTGAATTGCACTACTCACAGGCCAAGATAGAACTCTATGGACTATTTCGAGCCTTGCGTGCTGCAAAAGTCTGGTTAATAGGTTTAAAGAGGTTCACCATCGAGGTAGATGCCAAGTACATCCATGGCATGCTCAACAAACCAGACATCCAGCCCAATGCGGCTATGAACAGATGGATAGCAGGAATATGTACTTTCAATTTCATTCTTAAACACGTACCTGGAGCAAGGCACCTTGGACCTGATGGCCTGTCACATCGACCTCATGCACTGGAAGATGAAGATGAGGTTGAAGAAACATCAGAAGATGTTGAGGACTGGGTGGATGAAGTTCTAGGATGTGGGGTAGGAATTGGAGAAGTTTTGGAAGGAACTTTGGGTGGAATGACGAAGAACGGGGCAGTTTTCATGTGTTGTGTGGAGGATGTTGAATTCTCAGATCTGGAACCACCCTCAAATGACATCACCAAACAACAAGATGGTGAACTTCATATCATTCAAACATTTCTCGACAACCTGTCCCTCCCTTCTACCATCTCAGATTCGGATCGTTTCCACCTATGAAAAGGGCATGACAATTCTTTACCAAAGGAGGCTGGCTCTGGCGCAAGGATACAGCTGGCCACCATAGGGTGGTATTGTTTCATTCAGATTGTTTGTGAGTATTACGCAAAGCACACAACAGCCTTGGTCATTGGGGCTTTTATCCCACACGTCACACTATTTCAGACCAGTTCTGGTGGCCATCACTGGACCAAGACCTCACATGGTATCTGAAGACATGTCATCAATGTCAGATCCATTCAGTAGAGAAGGTTGTAATACCACCAATGGTCCCCACACCTTTGACACTATTTTGTAAAGTCTTCACAGACACTATGCACATGCCCACAGCACATGGCTTCTCTTATGTGGTACAAGCACAATGCTTACTATCCAACTGGCCAGAGTTTAGAATGCTGAGGAAGGAGATGGGAAGAACATTAGGGGCTTTTCTGTTTGAAGAAAATTTGTGCAGGTGGGGTGCTATAGAGGACATCGTGATGGACAATGGGACTCCTTTTGTCGCAGCTGTTAATTAGCTCGCACAGAGGTATCATATCTGGCATATTCACATATTGGCTTACAATTCAAAAGCTAATGGCCTTGTCGAACGCTCTCATTGCACCATCCAAGACTCACTCGTCAAATCTTGTAACAGAGACATCACATTATGACACGAAAATCCACAGGCCATTCTCCGTACTAAGGTATAAGACAGCATAATCCGATGAACCTCATGTGATAATTGTGATGAAAGAGTGACATTAAGGTATAAATCTATTAACAATTCAGAAACACCACTTCTCAAAAATCTGTTCCACCATTTGCTAGATAAATCGAAAACAAACATTTTCACGGTTTCAGAATAGAATTCCTTGCAGAAATGAGAGAGTTAATAGTTAATTACAGTTCTACACAGTAAAGATTCGGACATCAAAACTGTGGCTCCGACAAATGCGGCAACTTGGCTCAACAGAGAGCATCATGGCACCGCGCAAACGTCTCCACAGCATATGGATCTCAAATTTACAGTCAAAGAAAGCCAGGGTGCATATTGAACAAAGCTCAGATAAGAAAAATACTCAAGTTGTAAGTCAATTGATGAGAAATCAAACATGAAGGCTTGATGATGTTTCTGACAGGTGCAATCTGGCGCAATGGAAGATGTTGAGTGTAGTGTGCGGAAAGCTCAAAGGGTTCAGTGCGAGAGTTAGAGCAATCCCACTGAGCTACAATTTATTACATTACAAGCTTAGATACTACAAGTCTAGTTGCATATCATTTACTTAGATCCGATTCCTCTGAGTCTGTGTCATTCGGCTTGACTTATCCTCACAGCGTCACACATTGGTCACATCACATGAGGTTTGTTGGATTATGCTGTCTTATACCTTACCTCGCTCATGGCACAGAGCCCCTCCTTCCACTCAACCTAGTTGAAGCAACCTTCATGCTACCCGAGATTTCTGCACTCCTTTCAATGTCCAACCTCATCAGTTCACGCACCCAGCAGCTTCAGAAACAAGACAATGACCTTGCAATTGCTCATCAACACCTTCTCAACAGCCATCTCACATCAGTCTAAGACTTCGAACACTGTTTTGCATCCACAATTCATGATTATAACTTTCCCCCCGGCTCTCTTGTCCTTGTCTTGAATAAAAAGATCGAAGCTGCCTCAAATGCAAAATGCAAACCTCATTATTTTGAACCTATGGTCGTTGTTTCATGGTCTCAAGGCAGCTCTTACAGACTCGCAGAAGTCGATGGCAGCCTTTTGAAGCTGAAGTTTGCTGCTTTCCATCTCATTCCTTACCACCCACACTCTCGGACTTCAATCAAAGTCACTCAGTATATCGACCCTCAAAGCCTAACAGGCATCATACCAGACAATGAATAGTTGTGTTTTTCATTTTATCTTTTTGCTTTTGATTCTATTTTTCCACTGTACTCTACAAAAAAAAAATTTTGAAGCTCGTTTGTTGAAGGATCGACCGAGGATGGTTGATATCCAAAGTGGGGAGGAGGTGTAAGGATACTATATCCTCTGCACTCCAACTAACACTTCAAATGAATGTGAATGCAGTCCACATGTCTCATTGATGTGAAGAGCTTCACTCTTCATATCTGAGACATCCAGATACATTTCCTTCATTTTTACATTCACCCTTGTATTCTAACAAACACTTCATTTTATATCATGTGACGCCACCACCTCGTGTAGAACATGAGTCTTCCTTTTACTTATTGTCGCTCACATTCTTGTTCCAAAAAGTCCCTTTCATTGAATTCCCCTTTGTTTGCTACACATTGTACCATGTATTGAGCCACTTGGCTATCCCTTTCATGCTCGTATGTATATAAACCTTTGATATTCATGTACTCATCGTCAAATCAAGAGAGTTTCACCAAGCATCGCAAAGTCCAGAACATTTCAGCTCAAAACATCCCATCTCGTCAAAATGTTCTGTTTTGTCTCATCTTGGTCCTACCTTGTCTTGTCTCATCTCAATCTGCTTCATATTCCGGACCCCTTCATACTCAACATCAGCCTTACACATCAAGGTATCATTATCTGCAACTCATGCTTAATTGAGGTCTCAGAGTTCTTTGTCCTATTGCCCTATTTATGTTATATTTTTTTCCTATTAGTATAGTATCATGTATCCACTAGCACATTATCTGATTGTATACTATCCATTTTGTGATTATTTGTGCTTATTTATGCATGAGTAAATAGTTGAGCAGTGAGTACAATACTATTTTTTGAGTGTCTGTAGAGTGTGTGCACAGAATCTCACAGAAATAATTGGTACTATAGTATGCTGAATACAGCATGAAATTGTGAAACTTGTTTTATCTATGCACTAATCATTGATATCACCCATTTTCATACTTAGGCCATAAATCAAGCCAAACCAAGCCAGGGCTAAGCTGTTCTTAAGGGCTTTGGCCTGGCCTGTGATTTCTGAAAGTCCAAGCCATCTGAAGCCAAGTAAAAGCTACAGCTTTTGAGCTAAGCTAGGCCAGAACATTACTAGATGATATCGAGATTAATACATTCTCCTCCAATTATTTCACCTCATCTGCTTTGTGGAATTCAGGACCATACTTGTAGTATATGAGGTATTTGCTGAACCTCCTTCTGATCTTGCAACCAGTTTTTGAGGATTTTATTAGTGTGCTCAAGACTGGGTGAAAGTGGTTAATACTTTTTCTTTGATAGTGACTTCAATGAAGGAGTAGTCAAGCTTGGATTGTTTGTAAGTAGGTTCTCCTAGCTCATTTGGCTCTGCTCTACTCCTATTCTTTGATATAGGAGCTTCTTTGCCAACTTGTGCAGATTCAACTAAGCACTGTCTAACATTTTTAGAATCTCTAGTTTGGGTGAATTTGGCTTCAACTTCATTAAGCATGTTAACATAGGGTCCTGCAACAGTTGAGACACACAGTTCTAGTATAGCAAATAACTCAGCTAATATGGTTTCAATGAAAGTAATATTTACCTCAATTTTTGAAGATATAGAGCATCTGGAGTCATCGATGATGACGAGACATGCCATCACCAAAACTTATTAGAATGTAGCCTGTATATTGAGATTGATGTGGGATGTATCTCCTGTAGCTAATGATTTAGAGTTTGTAGCTGTTCTCGAAGACTGAGTCTACAACATTGAACTAGCATTTTCAGTGGACATGAATGTAATGATCAAATCAAAGATTTAATATTAGCTTAAAAAATGCAAATGTGCATGAGCTGATAGCAAGAATACAACTAAGTAACAATGAAATATCCTAGACTTGTCAGTGAACATATATGCTCATTGAAGAGGGGCTGTCATATCCTGCATTCCGGACCCGGACCTATCACACAATCATCTCCGGACTTCCAGATCCGGTTAGCTTCTATCTTCTGTATATTTTTCCTTTAGTATTTCCCTTCTCAGTTAGTGTGCTTTATTTTCTGTCCCTTATTCATTTCTGTCTTCATTTTATTAAGTTCCGATACACTAGTGTTAGTTGTTCCACATGCTCCATCCATAGCCTCACATAGCCTCGCACTGCACTGACTGATTCTCTGTTATGTCCTTCATAGTATATAAACTCTGTAAAGTCTCTGTATTTCTTTAGTTTAAATATCATCTTAGATTCTGCTCATTCCCTCCTCCGTCTGACTTGAGTCTCTTCTTGTCGTCTCCGATAGTTTTAGGTTTGACTCCTATTGACTTACCACCTCCGCCTCTACCTTTGGTAGTCCTCTGCTGTTTCCTTTCTAGTTCGGACATCATCCAGATTAGTCTTATCACTTGTTCCCAAACATCCGCCAGAATTCCTGCACATCAGACTCCGGACGTTGTCCTTTAGCCCTCAGAAGTTAGGGGCACATACTTGGGTAAGGGGTGCAGTGTACGAGCTGAAGCCAAGCCCTTTGGATCCAAACCATTGAGCACGTTCTTAATAGGGGCTTTGAATGTGTAATGGTTATGTGTGGACGTCGGGCTGACCATATTACATAGTCTCAAGGTATCCTGGTGTCCTTAATGTTCTTTTTCTCCCCATGTGTAGCAAGTTTTGCTGAGCCCTCTGCTGTAATTTCATTCTCCATACAAGTAAATTGATATATATTTACAGATGAACTAAGCACAATGGAAAAAAATTGAGATATGTCATTAGTATGTTCTTAGCTCATCTGACATCACAGCAAAAATTACCACATCCTTTTAAATGTAGTCAGCCAGTATTAGAGTGGTTGTTGCTGTTCATATTAGCATTGGTGAGTATCAGAACAATTTGAATGTCTTGCAGTAGTTGCAAAGGTGAGACCTCAAGGGACTTTGAAGGGCAACAGGACACCCATGACACCATTATTTGGCCTACAGAAAGTCATCTAATATTGCATATCAGCCCCAGACGTGCATTTTAATCATAGTTACAACTTGCACTATGCAGAACATTTAGATTTTACCATGAAATTAAATATTGAAACACATAATGTGGGTTCATATTGCAATGGTCAATATTTTGGAGTTTGAATAATGATGGGCAATTGTGATTCCATTCTTGATGAGCCTGAGACAATTGAGTCATACAATAAATACTAGCAGAATCACAAGTTGAAATGTTGGTGGTATCATGGTTGTCAGAACTGACTTGAGTAAGCATGTGTCTGAGATGAAGAATACCTCCAGTAACTCTATATGTGAATCTTATGGACAGAAGGACCCCAGAAGCTTCTTATGATGTTTGACCAAAAAGTTGCCTATTTAAGGCCCAAATTTTGCATTGTCCTTGTCTGTTTTTTGCCTATTTGGCACCTTGAAGAGCCACTCCAGTGCTCCAAACATGCCAATGTCTGTCTGATTCTTGTCTATTCTAGGCCTTCAGCTGACCTTTAGGGTAGGTTTTTTCAACTGTTGCTATGTGAATTTGTATGATCAATGAGTGCTGGCACTGAGTGCCAATCATCTCTAAGCCTATCTATTATGTTACTCAGCAAGAATCTACATTGTGAGATCCATTCTGTGTGGAACATCAAAGTTTATTACTATGATCTCTTCCTATTACTTAACCCTGGTTATAAATTGCCTAGTCCCATACTCAATGCTTTTAGAGCAATTATCCAGGATGTTCTCTGCGAGCAGTTTCATGCTGCTGACAACAACACATTAGTGTTGTCATCCTAGATTCCTATCCTTGCAACTGATAAGGCTATATTTACTCAAGCTGAAGGATCTATAGTTAAACTTATCAAAGCAGCTATAAGTGTTAAAAAACAAACATGACTTAAGCTCAATGAAACTTAGTGTGGAAATCTTCTCCTCGATAATGCACTATAATGAGCACAGTAGATGATACTTCTATGTGGTAGTTACCCTTCTCACTGGGTCCTTGGTGTCATTGGCTTCAACCAAAAGATATGGTGCATATATGATAGTATTCCAGAGCTCAAATTAGTAATCTGGATGTAACCAGTAAGAAACACACTTATCTTCCCAACAATGCTCCCCAAACATGTACCTGCATAGTAATTTGAAGCTGCCATTTATGCTGTCTCAGCATTTTCTGTTATACACAAAGTCAATATCAGAGATAGCAGTTGGATGATCAAGATATATTCATCTAATGCTAATGAATGACAACATAACTCTTGGTCATGTAGGATCTTTATGATGATGGCAATGTGTACAATTGGATTTAAAAAATATTAGAGATGACATGTGAGTATGCATATTAAACATACTACTTAAACTTCCATGAGTTACTTGTCATGAGATATTGATTAGGATATTATAGTCTTGAAGGGTATCTCATTATGATGATGATGATGGTGTCATTTGTCTGGACCAGTAATACACCACCTTGCCCGATGTAATCCCTGTCTTATCAGATGTGACAATAAAATCAAAGTTGGTGCCAAAAAAGCTTGTTAGTGTACCACTGTAAGTAAAGGTCTTTGAAACACATAAGTGGTACTGAGATATTTGTGTTCTCCAGTAAAAGAAAAAAGAAAAATATTAACTCAGACCCTGATGACACTGATGATGAAAAGAAGAGAATCAAAAAGTCAAAAGCTACCCAGAAGAAAGATAATACCCTGTCATACCTGTCAGCATCACAATAGTGCAATGTTTTAATTAAGGATCAGTAGATATATTATGCAGAACCTAAGTATATTCAGTGTAATAAGTGTATGAGGTGGATCATGCTTTGCTCCGAAGATAACTGTCAATATGAGTTACATAACTAGGAGGTTCACCATAAAAAATGTCCCCACATTACTGGCGTGCAAAACAAATGAAAGGTCACAATAAAGTTATCAAAATCCAAACCTCAGATAAGGCACTATGAACATACACTGATTTGCCATTTGACATGCAATATAACAGTCTACAGGAATGCAATTATTGCCAGATTTCTTCAGCAATGTAGCTATGAGCAGGATAGTCTAGAATAATAGCTCACAACAAAGTATACAACTATCAATATCAAGAGTGTGAATGTAATGCAAGAATGATAGTGGCCTTTGAGACTTACCTAGGATATAATTATAGACCCCTTCAATCATAAGAATATTTTCCAAGCGTAAAACAACATAAAATCTGACAGTGTCATCTACAGTTATTATATAGCCTGACCCATCATCTGAGGCTTCTACAGTGCCCTATCAACACCTCATTAAGCCAAAGTACACAGAGTACATACTGTGTACCCAAACATGGCTCCTTGGAGGAATTTCCTACAAACTGTGAGCCTAGATTAGCCACCAACACTTCATGTACAAACCATTCCCAGCTGTTAAAGATTCCATGTGTAAAAAGGAGTTGCAATGAGCTATCCTAGATCTGAAGAGTGTTTCATGGAAAGCAAATTGCAATGTGAAGGAGAAAGACTAGACAAGTGATGAGCAGAAGAAGCTAGATAAGAGTTTGTTGGCTTGGGCACAATGGGAAGTTGATTATGTCAATAGTTATATTCACTTATCTCAGTGCAAATAGCGGACCTTGAACAAGAGTGAAATATGTGATATATGTAAAAGACTGGTGCATAGTGATCAAGCATTTAAACATGCTATCCGATGGGTATGTAGAGCCAGCTATGTGTGTGTTTGTTGTATAACTGATATGACTATATAAGCAGAAGACAAAGTAATTGGAGTTGTCAGAAGAGGAACAATATGAGCTTCTGCTAATACATGAGAAGTATACCCCTAACACACTCCACACCACTAATGGTCGTGTCATGCAAGACAAACTCAAGAACCCTGTGATATTCAATATATTCAAGATACTTGAGCATGGAAGTTCTATCAAATGTTTCATTGAGCTTTTTGAGGCAGCAAGGAGTGGGAAACTTGCAGACCACAAGACATTCAAAGAATTATGTGACATGTTTGCAGACCGCTTCCACCTCACCAACTCCACCAACCCCAACTTAAAGTATGGCATTTGATATTCAGAAATATACCTAAACTTTATGGTTTTGATATGTTCTCACAGTAGAAACTCTATATGTCAGTATAACATTCTTACTTTGCAATTAGGTAAGCCATCATCCCATCACTTAAGATATGTTGTTATGTGGTCCTGGGAGAGAGTCAGTTGTCTGATTATCTTGATAGGACTCTTGTTGCCAAGTCATCCAATGTCTTATAAAATCCACATTCTATCTTTGAAAATATTGCTTGAGTGAGATGACTCATGGATGCAGTGGGTTACAAGGGTCTAATAGTAGTTGCTGGTAACTGCACAAAAGTTCATCCACAGTTAGCATATTTAACTGATTTTAGATATTCTCAGCTCTACTCTTCCTTTGGATGAATATCAGATTGACAAAATTGAAGATATCAAGAATATTATCAATAGTATTTATAAGGCTGAGGCTGAAGCAACACAAGTATGTACTATACTTGCTAAGGTGAACTTCTCCTACTCCTACTCTATCATTTATGTCGGAAATTTCCTAATTAGGTTTCATGGCCTTGCAACGCGTTGCAATGACCCAATGACAAACCTAGGTCTCAACGTGATACAATAAAAGAGTCTCATGTTCCAATTATGTTCCAATTAGGTCACAATCGAGCCTTTCAACCAAAATTTCAACCAAGTTAGGCAATAGTAGCGACATTGAAACTGGATTGAGATCCAAATCTCAAGGTGTGTTTCAATAATGTCAGAATAAACATGCATAGGTTTCAAGTTAATTCAGACATCCTTGAGATAGAATAAATTTCATTGTAACCATTCAAATGATATTCAATCTAATATGCATAATCCTCCACTATTACCGCTACTGCTTCTTCTTGCGAGATCTCACTGGCCGACCACATTGCTGCTCTGCTGTATCAGTTGACAATGAAACTGGTGCAAGTACGCCAGCCTTTTTGCCTCGGCCCTGTCGAGAAGACGATGACCCAGAGGCTACAGCTTGTGACATGATCTCCCCATTGGTATTGCCTGTGAGTGAGACTGGAAGTTGATCAGTGGTGGATCTGGGAACTGGGTTGATGATAGTTTCAGTGGCCTGGTCCAGGGGCGACATGGCAGGGGTGATAGCTGGTACAGTGGGAGGGACAGGTGGCGCAATGACAACTGGAGTATCAATTATTGGTGAAGTAGGGGTTGTGGGAGGTGCGGGATCTTCATTGATAGTCGGAGAATCTGAATCTTTGTGGCCAGCATTAGCAAGAGCCAAGCGCATTAGATCAGAAGTGAAATCTTTGCCTTCGGCTTCTGAGGCTGCAACATTCGAGGTTGATGACTGCCAGACATGGGTATTGATTTTCTGACGGATCGAAATGATATGGGGCTCTTCCCAAAGCAGTGACCCATAGTTGCTTGTAGGCCAGTGAACATGGCTGCGTACGGTAGTCGAGACCTTGCACCGACTCCATCTTTAGTGAATGAAGTGTCCGAGGACAGAATAAATATCAACTAAACAATCATTAGACACCAAGAGCTGATGATAGCGAACAAGGGACAACTCACCACAACCCAACCCCAGGCAAGGAGGCCAGGGGTGCATGATGTTATGCCCCACTTTCGAGCATTACACTTAGCGCTGGCCACCCAACAATGTCCAGCTGAATTTTTTACGAACATTACAATTCTAATCGCCTGTTATACACACATTAGTACAAGCACAGTTTCTTCAGGCAGCCATAGCAAAAATACCTTTGCGAGCGGTTCCCAGTTACCGAAAACTGTTGACATCGTTAGGTCCATTTCTTGCCTCGTAAAAAGGACAGGTGGAAACATCGAAGATGATTGACCAAGCAGTTTCTGGATTTCAGGGGATCGTGTCTCGCTTCGTAAACCCGGTGTCGAAGTAGGAAGAATCAAGACCGAAAATACACCCTGCCATCACTCGCAACTTGCCAATCTCACTTGAGCGGCCGCCTTAAGATGTTGTCCCAGCTGTGGTGTTATATACCAATAGTCAATTTGCTATAATAGATCACATAACATTGAACTTAAGACCACATACCAACGATTGGAAATGACTAGTCGGTACAAAGCGATGAAGATGATCTGGGAGAAGTGAGTATAGCTCTGTTACAAGACAGAGTTCTTCTGCGCTCTTGGTTGCATAGCGGCTCCCAGATAGGATGGCAGGTGGAGGCTTCAGCACAGGAAGTTTGAGGATGCGGTGCATGGGTGGGAACATCTCTGCAATGATACCATACTTGCGGGAAAAAGTTGCAAGTTCAGCGTCAAAAGCCTTCAGCTCATCTGGAATTTGGGTACTCGAAGACGATCGCCATTGATTTGCTGATAATGTCTTATTCGTCTCGCCTAAAGCACAATTATTGTTCTTCAGCGTTTGGTTTTCAAGTTGTAAGCGCCAGATGATCTTCAAGGAACACGATTAGGAGAGCATATCATAATACATAGTTGCAGGAATGAAACATACCTCCATGTCCTCGTGTTGCGGCATTCGACCATTCGAGACCGTTGGCTGGCTAATTGACGAGACGCCGACAGACACTGGACCAGAGTCCGATTCATATTCGGACGAGTCAGAGTTATCAGGTGTGCCAACTTGACGGGGAGCGTACTGGGGCATAATAGGAAGGATTCGCGCAGTAGATTGGGAGACTGATGGCCACAATGATGTGTGATGGGCGATGGAGAATTTATAGTCGAAATTTGCTGTGTGTTGACAACCGAGCAGTGTTCGGTTCAGAATCAGCACCAAGGGAAGATAATCCATGCGGCAACTTACATGCATAATGTACTTGATAACATGTAATAACATGTCAGAAAGTAATACAATGAATCAGACATGAGGTAGTTTACCAGTGTGGCGTCGCCTGGACTATATTAATGTCTGGCAATGCAAAGACCCTAAATCATGAAAGATGAGTAAAAAGGTCGCAAGGCGCAATATAATTTGAGCGCACTGTTTTAAAAGTAACAAGCGATGACAACAGTTAAACGTCTGAATCGACGTCTAAGGTTCTGAATCAGCGATGCATGAATGTTGGAACCAGGTTGCGACCGGGTTGTGACCAATGGACTTGGCCGAAAAAACACCATGTCAGCTTATTACATAATGCTGTAACCGTCATGCTCACTGCTGCAGTCATTATTACTGTGATAATATCTCTGATAAGCAATTTAACATGTTCCAACTGCGCGAAATTAACTAGACGGAGCACGAGATGTGTCAGTATCTGAAGTAGGAACACTGAGGGAGTTCGAGGACATGGTCAAGAAGGATTTCATAGGTCAAGGACCTTACCCAACTTATATTCTCCCTTCCCCCTCAAAGACAACCCCTCCTCCTACCACAAATCCCTTTCTGCCTCCTCCATCTATTGTGGCACGGGGCATGTTTCAACTGCGCGAAATTAACCAGATGGAGCACGAGATGTGTCAGTATCTGGAGTACTCACTCATTTTCTGAAGCCGCATGGGAGCAGGAGGTTATTACAACCATCTGCAAGTGCAGAGTGGACATGTGGGGGGGGCATGCACAGCAGCCCATTGCCTTCTGTGCCGAGCCTCGAGGTGTGCCAATGCCAGGTCAGGCCCTGACCCAATCTAGATTAAGGCTAGTCTGAACAAGCAAGCAACCGCAACTTCGGCTGTGGCTTGAAAACATCAATGAGAAGCTCTCTAGTCACAGGTGCGCTTGAGAGGTCGAGGTAGGCAAGTTCACCAGATGTGAAACATGGCGCGGAAGATGCTATTTCAGCTGGATCTTCCATGGTGAGTGGAGATGGGAATGTTTGGTCACCATATAGCGTGAGCTCCTGGACTCGCACTGCTGCTGGTGCACGAACGAGGAAATCCCTGATACTGGACTCGGTTAGATGAACACGCGGGGCCAGCACAAGCGAATGCAGGTGAATGGTTGAGCCCCCAAGAGCAATAAGTAGATTCAGTGTGACACTAAGGACGCAAAATGACAAAATGACAATGTAAAATGGACATAGTATGGACATAAAAATGAAAGTGTTAGGGTGTGAAGTGTCTAAGTGTAGGGGAAGGGTTGAAAGGCAAAAGTA